ATCAGTAAGGTTGTCTGTGGGCCTTGAGGTTGAAGTTGATTTTAATGATTTAGAAAGTCGATTATTTTTTTTGTTCACCTCCCCGTCCCTTCGACTGACACCGTATAGGTCTTCGTCGATCATTTTGATATCACGTACGGGTTTTGGGAACAAATTTTCAAACGACCAGATGCTCGGAGCAGTGCCATCTGCCTGCTCTACGATCTCGTCGTATTGCTTTTGTCGCTGCTTACTCAAGCGCTTTCGTTCTCGTTCGGTTTCGGGTATGCGTTTTCGTTTGTACTTTTTGCGTTTTCGTTTTTGTCGCTCTGAGTCTTCGTCTGCAGGACTGAAGGAGTATTGTCTGTTGTTAGATTTTCTATTTCCCCACGACGAACTGGTGGGATCTTGTGCCAGTACCATCGACAGCGAACACTGATTGAATCGTTTCGAGCGTCCGGAATGAAACCTGTAAGTCAACGATTCCGTTAAAGAATGACAAAGCCATTGCCGCTGGGCAAACGTGGTCATTAGGAGACAAAACAAAGAATTCCTTGCCAGCCGTGTTATCCGCTTTCGTGGTAATATGTTTACATTTTTGTGCTCTATATTCGAGGGGGATGTACTTCTTGACGACTCATATGTACAGATAGGCGTGCGTGGGCTGTTACAGATGGGTTCTATCGAAGTTGAAGAGTCCATACTTGTCTGACCACACCTGGAATGCAAAATTCGACGTAGACGGTTTCTATTACGATGTTCCTAAAGAACACCCGTTGTTCGTACTGGTATTTCTTTCTTGGTTATCTATGCGCGTGTCACCCTTTTTGCGCCCTCAATTATTKCGTCGCCGTATTGTATTTGTGAAATACCGTTATGTTGRCACAATCAGGCGGTTGTTGTCTTCTGTGAATGTAGAACTATCGAAAGAACATCTCCTCCCGTTGCACAGGGTTTGCCRCGGATTTATTACTTCCTCGAAAGGCCTTGGTGTTGGGATGTTTTAAAGATGGGAGTACTCGTATTACAAATCTTCCTGGAGASCTCTATTTCGTTTCTCTTGGCCTCAGCTAGAGGATTAAAAGTGCAACTTCAGGAGAAAGGTTTTTCRGGAAGCTGAGTTGTCTGATGCGTTCAAACTCATCGTCATCTGCTGTCGCACATTGTTCTTGCGATTCTGTCGTTTCCCTTTCTGCGTCGTCATTCTCAAAAACAACCAATCGTTTTTGTCTCCTACACTTCAACTACGCGATCCTTTTTGGCTACATCGTGATTCCTTTTCACAACGKTATGCATACRACGATGAAGGAATCTTAGAAAAATTTCTTTCCTAAATCAATATTTTTTCGTCCGAATCTCATTTTATYTCTAACCTTAGTAATGAATACATTCCGCGTGGAGCTCAAAATGATATCCTCCAGCGTACTCGTACCGTTGCTGTGCTTGTACGTACTGTACGGTATCCTATTGTACAGCACCACTGCCATAGCTGTTGTGT